CAATTCTCTTCTCAATTCTGACTGAATTCTGACAGCTGACAAACATGTTAGCATCAAGCTGCAGTCATGTCTGTTTTAGCTCTCTTTAATTACCTTCTGCTCTTCCATTATAGATATAGAATCACCGGGGACCCCTTGGGCACGCAAAAAGTTGCCTAATTTTTTACCCATGTGTCACAGGCCTTCCCAAACAACTCACATCTTTGTCAGTGAAGCTGAGTGCTCCAACATCTCTTCCTTCATGATGCCCATCTACATTAGGATCCAAAATTCTGAGATTAAAGTCAGAATTATGAGAAAAGAAGTCAGAAATTTGAGAGAATAAGTCAGAATTCTGAGATAAAAGTCAGAATTCTAAGAATAAAGTGAGAAATTTGAGAAAAAAGTCAGGATTCTGAGATTAAAGTCAGAAATTTGAGAAAAAAGTCCAAATTCTGACTTTTTTTCTCATATCATTCTAAACTAAAATGTAAAAATCAGTAAACCTTTTATTGCTTTTTCAGTGGCCCTAATCCTCATTCGTACACATTTATACACAATATCATCATCATCATCATCTGCAGTGCAGCACAGGGCCCCTCTGTGGCTTATCGCGTCAGAGCAGCTTAAACATGGATGCCAATGCAAATCGGGAATAATTCCTCCTACATGCATTCAGCACAGATCAAGATGTGTGGAAAACATTGTGTCTGCAGAGAAAGTGTGAGTGCTTACCGGCAGCCGCCCGGTGGACGACCTGATGGGCTTCGCGTCCGGTCCGTGGGGGGTTGAGTACAGACTGTTGCCTCTTTGTTCGGCCGCTGTGTTGCTGATCTGGGTGAAGTATCCGACCGGTACCGTGCTGATCGGCGGGCTGGACAGTCCGGTGCAGAAGAGCTCGCCCTTCACTCCGCCGCTGGACACAATCTTCATCTTATTCTGGGAGCAGGAGAGCCCCACCGGCGGCCGGGCCGGTGCGGGAGAGACGCCTCTGGGCATCCGCATCATTTTCCTGGGTTAATAGAACCGGATCGGTGCGGTGGAGGAATAATCGAGCAGTGAGCTGGAATCAGATCAAATGCTGCTAGTAAACAATTACAAAGACTCACAACAGCAGCTCTTCCTATATTTAACCTACAATAATAAAAATACAAAAGTTAAACATAAACTAAGCATTTTTTAATCCTTTGTTCTGCAACAAAGCTTAAAAGAAATTTCTCTTACCAGTTATTATAAATCTGCTTATAAATCAGCACATTTGCACATCCAGTAATTCGGTAAATCTTGTCTGGGTTCGGATCCAGATTAAAGAATGTGACTGAAACGGAATCGGATCCTCTCCAAGCCTGGTGTCCAAACAGCGCAGGTCAAAACTCTCCATACAACAGAAGAAGAGTCTTTTTAGCGCCAAACCTGATCCCGCGAAATTTAGATCTCCCGCGGTTAGATCTGGCTTCTGATTGGCTGACGGCACGCTCGGCTTGTCACATTTGTATAAAACAGTTGTGATGGGCTGGGGCTCGCGCCCTTAAAGGGACAGGAACCTCTCTTTGACACCAGACTGTTTATTGTCAGGATGGAGGACAATAGAACTGTTTTATAGTAAATATATATATATGTGCTTATAAAGCTGTAACTATAATTAGCGCGTATATTAGGAAATACATTTAATATCATGCATGAAATCCAGAGATCAGATGATATGAATATTATCAAGGCTATCTCATTCTTGTTTAATTGTCAATAACCTAAATTTGTGCACTGGTTAATGGTATTGTTAATTTCCAACTGGTTTTTATACAGTTTTTTTTTTTTTTTTAACATTAGGTCGCACACACACACAAAAAAAAAAACAAAACTCAAATATCTTTCGTAGAAGTTTTGGGGAAAACATATCTGTGGTTTAATGCTTTGTGTAAAGATCTTCAATACAAATACATAGAAAAAGAAAATTATTTTGTTTTTTTCTTGTCCCATTTCCATGTCATGAGTACTTGGTGGGTGTAGCTACAAGGAGATGTTGTAGGCAGTCTGTCAATGATAACCCATTCAGCTGAACTCTTGCCTATTGGCTCACATGAGATATTGAAAGAAAACACTCCTGCCCCCATTCACACCAACTCAACCCCAGCTGCCTGTTCTGACCCCCACTCACTGAGACAAAGTAGACTCACTACCCCAGCAAAACTGCCATGTCATTGCCTTATTATACTTGAGGAAAACATACATTTAAAAGTTATCTAAGTCATTCATACTGTATTTTGCTTGTTTTGGTTTAAATACTTTGGGTGCCAGAGGAGTGCATCTGACGGGATCTGTCCCATGATTAGACAACATACATCTTAAGGCACAGTCAGTGGGAAAAAAATACAGTTAGCACTTAAAGAGCTGTTGAAAATTATTCGAAATATCCATTTTCTATTTCAAGCTTAATTTATCTCCACTCTATGTTCCTGTGTTGCGTCATAGGATTTCATACTACCCTAGGATTTCATAAACTGGCATGTTTCTCTGTAATAAAGGGATTATGCACACATTATTAAATCAAATATGGGGTTGGGTAACTTAAATTAAACTTAAGATAAACCAAATGAGAATGGGACATTAGCAAAAAAAAAAAAAAAGGTGTCTGTTATCATTTGATATTAAAATGTGCTGTACATGATTCCTGCCCTTATACATACAGGATATGTTCTTATACCTGCCAATATCATCACAAATGATCTTATTTTGCTATAAAGAAAGTTTAATGCAATCCATGATTAGTCACAACTTAAACCCTAGTTTATTGTATGAAAATATAGATTGACTATCAAAAATAGCAATATATTTAACTATTTATTAAACAAATACAATTCTAATTTTATTGTGATGGTCATGCATAATGATTATATTAATGGTTGACGGTAGAAAATACAGAAATATAGTAGATAGTGTAAACATTTTACTGTGATATTTAGCTGCACACAAAAAATAATGCATCTACTTAAACATATTTAGTTACTCAACACAGTTGTTTCATGTTAGCATGGAGGGACATGAAACATTTCTGTTAAAGTAACTAAATAAACTTAAATATTTGCAAAAACAAAAAAAAGGATGCATTGTTTTTTTCACAGACTGTAGCTATCAGCTGACCATGTTTCCCTGAAATGAACTTCTAACAATGATAGCCTGTTGTTACATTTACTGCATCTATAGCTAAAAGAAGCAGTTCAGGAATTAATAGTTTAATCGTTTTTTTTTTTCTTTTGTGTGTAACGTGATAGCCAATATCAGTGTGACTTGACTGATCATTACTTCGGCCATCTTTTTAAAACAGAGGCTCACAAGGGACTGAACAAGAACCGATGCTGGTCAGTGGTGTCAAAAGTACACACTTTTGTTACTTAAGTAGAAGTATAGATAAAAGTGAAAAAGTATGTGCTCCAAAAACTACTTAAAGTATAAAAGTATAAAGTAACATTTAAAAAAAAAAACAGCCAGTTGCCACTATATGAATTGAAAGCTCAATTTTTCGACTATTTCTAAAAATTCTTTGAGATAGGGCCAAGGATGAGGGAGGTCTTGTTGGTCTCTGTCTCCATCTCCCGATACGCTCTCACCTGTGTTCGACCTTTCACACATTTCAACATCTTTTTCTGAATCCAACATTGTAGCATGGCATAGACAATTCACATTTGCAGTTTGAAGAACACCTGCTCGCTTCTGATGATTTCCTTTAGCTAACCAATGAGTGTTTGCGTTATATGACTCATCTAATGACACTAGTTTTCACTAGATGTGGATGGTGCCAATGATCTGCATTGGATGGAGCACATGGAGCGAAATAAATATTTATAAACATTAAACTGAAGCCAAGAGCAACGAGTAACGTTTGGTTTAAAAATGTAAGGAATAGAAAGTACAGCGTATACTTCTGTAAAAATGTAATGAGTAGAAGTCAGAAGTAGGAAGAAAAATCGATAATGGAGTAAAGTTTAGATACCTAAAAAGTGTACTTAAGTACAGTAAGTATTCATACTTCGTTACTTGACACCTCTGATGCTGGCAGTCAGAATAGGTCAATTAAGCTTTCAAGTTTGCTGAAATAATGCAGTTTAGACGCATGCATATAAGCTAGTGGTCTGAAACTCCAGCCCTCCAGGGTTGTTGCCATACAGCCGGCGGACATCTTATTGCTTCATTAAACAGGAATAAAATCAATAGATAATTAGCAAGCCTCTGAGGAACTAGACTGGATACTAAAAAGGAAATTGGTTCATTTGATTCAGTTGAGTTGGAATCGGGAGACATCATGAGGCCCTCAAGGATTGTTACAAACCCCTGATCTGATGGATATGAAGTTTCCACAAAGTTTCTTTTTAATCTTGTCTTTGATGCAGTGTTGTGCACAAACTTTATCAAGGGCAGGGGCAGGAAAAAGAGGACACATATAGCATGTCTTTGTCACTGTAGGGGGCACTTTGGCACTGGTTTTGGCTTTCAAGAGGAACTTTTGCAAACATTTTTCAACATCGATGCAATCAACTGCATTTTTTGATAGAAACTTTTCACCAACCTGACTAGGCGTGTTACCATTAACCATCAAGTTGTGCAAATTTTAATTAAGAAAATACATATATGGAAATACTGCAATGTCAAAAAAAACAAAAAAACAACTCATGTTTTTAGAGAAAAAGTTTTTATTCTTTGATGAGGTGTTTTTTTCGGCTGTATTAAAATTATATTCAGCAGAAATGCAATGGAAACTTTTTTTTCCACATCACCAGAGTCGAGTGATCTGCAACTGGATGTTACTACCTTTTAAAAAAAAAAATAAAAAAGAAAACTGTTAGTTGCTGGAAGGTGATGGCATCCACTAGAGCCGTGGCTGATATATGGATATATCTCATCCTTACATTCACTGCTGCCATTTTGTTTTCAGACAAACATAAAAGTGTGTTCTCGTGCAAGTTTAAGTGTATTTATTTTATGTAATGGAAATACCACAATTTCAAAATTTTGATTTTTGGAGTCAGCAGAATATTGTTATAGTTTTGCACACATTTGTTATTGAAACACAACTATTGTCTCTGTAAAGTGCTTTTAAAAGGACATGTTCTGTGAATCAGCAATATGTAAATAAACTGAATTGAAGAGATTTGGGTTCACACTTTGTAACTTTCTCTGTTATGACAGCAAAATCAACCATTAAATGCTTTCAGAGCAGTTGATTGAGATGCTCACCCTGCAGGAAATTGTAGATGCATCCCTGTACTAACGCAGCTAATTCAAATAAATGAATTACCAATTCAGCATGCCATGAAGTCAGTGGCACCTAAGGAAATGTTTTACAGTGGTGGCCAGATGGGGCCACCAAAAATCTTGGGGTGAAACTAAAAGCCATAATTTCAGGGCTTTAATCTACTTCTAGGGTAACCCTGGCCGTAGAAATCATAAAGACTTAAGTAAAAACCCACTCATCTCTTGGTTTATTGTGTGATTTTTTTATGTTATGTCGCTGGCTGTGCATAATTGGATGAAATGCTAAACTTTTGGTACTGTAATTTACATGGCAAATGGGTTGGCCAGGGGTGGCCATGGCTACCCTATGCAATGCCCTGGCCATCCCCTAGTGGTGCCCCTGCATGAGGTTTTGCAAGGACCTTGCAACAAGCCTTTCATTTGATTAGCAGTGTTGAAGCAGAGATGCATCTAAAACTACAGGACAGCAGATCTTGAGGACCAGGGTTGGAGAAACCTGCTTTAGAGCAACGATATGACATGATTGGATCTCATTGCAGCTCTTTTTGCTGCTTTCTTGTCCAACACTGCCCTCTTCTGCTGTAAACTCATAACACATATTTCTATGCATCACTACAAGGACATCAGGTCATGACATCAGCCAACGATGATGTTATTGTTTCCTCTGTTATTCTAATGTGAAGTACATTTCTTCTGTTTGTTGAAAATTACTTAGAGTCATTTAGTAAAAGATGTTTTTTTTCTTAAAAGCATCTGTACTAGAAAGATTAATAAATTAAATGTCTCTTTAAAGTATTCAATTTCAGTAAGTATTTTGTTATAATACATATTGTTATATTCAGAGATGGCAAAAGTACTCACTTTCCGTACTTGAGTAAAAGTACAGATACTTGTGTTAAAAAATACTCTGGTAAAAGTGGAAGTA